AAAGAGAACACATTTCCACTGCCGGGATTTAAACTAGCAATTCAAAGCAGGTGGTTCTGGAAGAAAACAACAAAGAAGGTAAGCTGTAGGAAGGTACAGGATTGGAAAAAAATTAGTACATCTACATCTGCATTTTCAATAAGTTGTTTTATGCTTACACCAGAAAATGGAGAACTTCAGGCAATGGTAGACAGCCAAAAAATCCCCAGAAAATAAACTACTGGTGTTGTGGTCTTTAGAGATTTATGGGCTCATGACCCTAGCAAGTTAGTGAAATTGATTTCATAACATCAAGTCCATCCTTAATCTAACCGTGCCCTCTACTGGCCTGAAAGGTACTTGTGTGAAGGTGCAAACGGGAGATGCTACCGCTCATACCATTACAGGCTTCCAGTTCATTAAGAAATAACAGCAAGAAGCATTCGTAGGTATTTCTCTACAGGCTACCTGCCAAAATACAGAAATGTGTTTTAATACACCTTGTAACAGTTACATTTGTACTTTATTAATGTTTTAGACTCGCACACTCTGAAGTGTTGCCAACATTAACACACCCTATTTATATTTAATTTCCAAGGTTTGGGGCATGTCAAGCCATTAGATTTCTTCAAAAACCAGCTTTACTGTTAAAAACCTGCTCCCAGTCCGGAGTGGTAACACTGCTTTAGGAAATAATCTTTCTTTCTGCTTAGAAGACAAAACAGACAGGATGTTATTTCCATTTTTTAATAATTTTACATTACGGTAACAACTTTGATTTTAGATTGTTTTACCAAATTTAATACATCCATAATTTCACTCATCAGTAAAATGAGGCTCTGGGATAGTAAATGCTATAAGCATATATATATATATATATAAGCATATGGTGTGACAGGTTAAGACAAAAAGTCAGATTCAGACATATTGAAGTCAGAGGTGCACATAGTTTTGTACAACCCAAATTTAAATCGCTGCTTGCCAAAATCATCCCTCAGCACTTTTTGCATATCTTGGTCTTTTCCTTCTAAGTCTGTTCTTCAAGTAGCAGCCAAGATTTAACTTATTCAATATATTAAAGAACACTTTAATAAAGTGTTAAAAAACAAAGGTACTTTTTTCCTCCATTTAATCTTTAAGACAAAGATGTAAAAAAAAAAAAGCTTTGGAAAGAAGATTAAGGAAGAATTACACACAGTTCAAAGAATTCAGACTTTGATGGTGTGATAGGTTACACTGACTACAGAACCAGTGAAGTTGTTATAACTTAAGAGAATAAAAGACAAGCAATTGAGAGTAGTAAATTTTATTCATGCTGCAGATCTGGGGGTTTCTCTTCAGTGAGCACCAGTGCTTTAATAGGCATTAAGGAGAAAAAAGCAAAAACTCTGTCCAAGATTTAAGAACATCACTACTTCAAAGATGCAAAGTCAGCACATATTTCACAAAGCCCCATGGCAAAACTGGGGAAAGAGGGAAGGAAGGAAAAAAAGACTTCTAAGGTAAGAAAAATCATACAAAAGCCAAACTAAATGAAACTCAATTCTTCACTACAGATTAAACAGCAAGAGTAAAACAAACAAAAAAAACCCCAAACGTCACACTCAATTTTAATAAGAGAATTTAAGAATATTTTTTCCTACATGAAATCAGAATTCAAATTCCGTTTTAAAGTTCCCTCCTCTCCTTTGGTTTTAGAAGTATGCTGATACAAAAGGTGTTCTTCTTGCCTCTTTACTTAGTAAGTTTTACTTAAAGCCCTAAATTTTAGAACCAAGTTTTAAAATAATTGTACCTGCTGTGTTAAATACATGTTAGATACAATAAAGTATGCCTTCCACCAAAAAGAACACTTTCTGTGCACTCTTATCAAGACTATGTTCCTGTGTAAACCCACTTCGGAACACTATTATTTAAACCCAGAGGTGGCATTAGCCCTATATGTGGGAAAGCATACACATAAAGTATTTTTTTTACCCATTGTTAAAATAAAAGTAAGACTCATCAGACTGACTAGATTAACAAACAAAGAACTGCAGCCAAATTCACTAAATCTAGAAGGAAAATACATTTTAATTATTGAGCAATTAACCCTTGAAACAAACTTAAAGCTGGAAGACTCCTTAGATCATAACAGGACACCTTTCTGGGATGCAAGACCTGCCACACTAGTTCAGATGAAAAATCCATCTGGCCTGACATACCTCCTCCAGCAGCAGTCACTTAGGCCTGTCAGAAAGGTAAAGTTCCTCAAAATATTATTCCAGTGTTGACAGCCAGTTGTTTAATGACTTAGGGCAGAATCTGTATCCAAACCATAGTGCTTATGGCCACTGTGACAGTAAAGTAGGAAATAATGAAAACCTGACATTAATACAGATTACGTGAAATGACCTAGTAGAAACCTAACTTCTTCAGTTAAGATCTAAAGGACTGACATGTCTAATACAAAAAAACCCCCACATTCCAAACTAATGAAACTGTTTCATCACACATAATGAAACTGTAGGTATAGTGAAGGATTAGGCTGCAAGTTCATAATAGTGTTAATTCTTCTTGAATTCCAAATACTTTGGAACTGTTAAACACACACAAGCAAGGACGTTATTCCCACAATATCATTGTTTAATACAGTATTTTTAAGTTTGAAGATTGGTCAGCAAAGCATTTTGTTTTACATTACCTTGACTGTTTTGTCCATAGAAGCCGAGAGAAGCATGTGACTTTGTTGTCGTACAGGACACCACTGGATTTCATTAACAGGGCCGCTGTGTTTAGACATGCAAAATACTAAGTTTTTGGGGACTTCAGTTAACTTATATTTGGATCCCAAATATGGCTTAATTAACTCAGAGATCTTTCTCGAAGTCTGCTCTCCTGATATACCCAGTTTAACATCACAATCTGAGCTATCTTTCTGATCAGATTCTATTTTTTCAGGCATACTGGAATTTTCTTGACGCAATCTTTTAGGGATATATGGTCTAATTCCTTTTATGGCAGTAGTACTGTCTGCATGTGTTCTCTTCTGGGAAACAACATTTCCAGAGTTTGTTGAAGAGCTTGATATCTGTTCATAGTTTTTGTAGGACATACATAATGCAGTACGGCCAGAGTACGCTCTCCTACAATAAGGAGATGTCAAATGAGTGTTATTATTCTGTGCATAATGCTCAGGGGGATCTTCATAAACAGTGCTTGTGCCAGAACTGTCAGTGTTATCAGTATGCTGCATTTCGTATGTAGATTTTGTACCCAAACTACCAGGTGCAAAGTACTGAACACGATCCACAGAAGGACTCAGAAGGCTGGTTAGTCTGCTAGGAGTATTGGGGACTTCAGTCTTTCCAGTTTCTGCCTCAGAGTCTGAATCATCATAAGCAACCAGTGACGAACTCATTATGGCTAGACACAGCAGACTCCAGAAATCTCAGTGCTGGAATCCTCCAAAATGATGATCTACAATAAAGAATTGAGTATTCAGAACACAATTTATTACAGAGTCTACAATCTAAGTAACTTAAGGACATAAATGTGCTTTTCTTAAAAAAAAAAAGATCCATAACGTTTATTCCTGTTTATTAATGGAATTTATTCCTCTATTATGACACATCTGTACATTCAATTATGCAACACCATTTGCCTCCAAGCACTTTGCATACATTTTTAATGCATTGCAGAGATGCATTTGCATACCACAAAACAATGAAAATGAGCATGAAAACAAACTTGCAACATAAGTACTGCAAATCACTTTAACCTTAGTTGCAGTAGCACTTCACACACACACACGCACACAAAAGAGGGTAATTACGCAATGTTTTGGTATGTACATTTATAAGAATATAAATACTACAACTATTTTGGAGTCAGTCTAACAGTATCTATTTCTTAACAGTACAGATGACTTGAAAGAAATGCAAAGGGCTTCAACTGGCAACTGAAAAAGTAAATACATTTTTGACCCATTCAGCAGTTTTGCAGTATGAGGAAATTTTCCACCTATATAGTGGTCAGTGAATAAGCTGCCCTCAAAAGTATCTTCATTAAAATGAGAATGCTGTATGAAAGTCATCATCTACATAAGCATTTGCAGAATCGATGCCACAAATGTAGGTCCTGCAAATAACTACTTCAGGACTACTACACTGGAACTTGTAAAGATTAGTCATTTAACTTCAGCATTAGTTCTATTTGAATTAAAAGCAGCATGCTTCATTTAACGTACAGAAGTATTACATTACAGGCTATGGTCTGTATTCCGTAATGAAACTTCAAAGCACAGATCCAGAAGACAGGTTCCTATCAAGACATGTGCGTTCACCATCACAGATCCTTTCCAAGATAAGTGATGGAGACGGTTAACTGGAACAAGGTGACTAACATTTTAGCACATAAAAGCATCAAGATCTCCCTCTAGAGGACATTTTGTCTTTATCTGAAGTTTATGACAGCTGTACGTGACAGCAACTAAGAGCAAGGAAAAATTCCTTTTTTTAATAATACAGCTTCATTTATTAAAACAGCATTTCACTTAAACAGTGTCAAGGAAAAAAATTAAGTAGTGTTTCAGGAAAACTTAACTAACAAATCAATTCAAAAACAGTAAATTGAAGTTTTTTGCAGTAAACTGAAATCTCGTATCAAATAAATAGTAAATTTAAAGAACTGCATTTGAATAATTGCAACAAGTGGTTACTCTTGCATTGCAGTGCTGAGAACAGGCTCCAGCCAAAATGCATCATGTTCAAAGAGCAATTACAGTAAGAAGTTGACCTCTGGCTGAAAGCTATTAATGAAAATACACAAGTAGATTGGAGTAGACTTTCAAAGTTACTCTAATGCAAAAAAAAAAAAAAAAAAAAAATTAAGCTGAGATTCAGAGGTAAGTGCAAGATGGTGCCTCACACACACCAGGTTAAAGAAGTTTCCTATGGGATATTGGAAAGAAACTGCCCCAGTACATTTGGCCAGCATAAATCCATCCCATCACACACGTCACCCATAGCCTAAGGTTTTTTGCAAAAACAAAGCATCCCTGACACCTTAAGACTTTCCATTCAACTTCTGCTTTTACGGAAACACCACCCCAAAGTTTCTAACGCTGCCCCAACTAAAGAAAAACGCAGGGAAAACACCCACCACGGGCTTCATAGGAAACACACTGTACCTAGATCGCGACTTTATTAGCGATGCGATTTACAACGTACCAAATGTTTCCAACGGGGGAACTTACACAACTTTTGCTCTCCGGTGGTTTTCGCAGCCGGGACGTGCCCGCGCGCATTAAACCCAGCAGGGCCGGGCCGCACACGCACGGCACCGCCCGCG